AAGCTAATTTGGTCTCTGCCTCTGAGACAAAGGAAGATGCCTCAAGCATTGTCTTTGGTAGACATGTGGGAAACTTCATTAGAAATAATCTAATCTTCACCATTGTGTCTCTAGGTCCTAGTCCTTGTGGCTGCCGTAGAGTAGGAGCTCAATCAAATTCGTTCAATGAATGACCAAGCTATTCAAAAGCTTTTCAGAAACAGGGGAACACAAACTTCCACAAGAAACAAGGCATGCTGGCATTAGATTGATCATCAGCTGCACTAAAAATGGTGGAATAATAGCTTGAAAGTTCAGGGGGAAAATGATTTTCAACTTGTGACACCTCTACCCAGTCAAATTACTTGCAAGGGCAATATAAAGACATTGTTACACATGCAAAGACTCAGAAAGCTTACCTGCCAGGCACCTTTTCATGAGGAGTTATTAGAGCATATACTCCATCAGTAAAACAGCAGAGTATCCTGAGGAAGCCATGGGATTCAGGCAGCTGCAGATGTGACCCAGAATGTCAGTTTTGTGGGTGACTAAGCCACAAGTTCATATTTGAGCAAGAATGGAGGATCCAGGAAACAAAGGTATTTCATGGAACATACAGTTGGAAGAACTTGAAGATATACTTCAGGCAAAGAAAATGAAAATAAGAAAAGCACCTAGAAATTTTATTTTCTGAAAGACTCTACAAGAAAATTATAATTCAAATATGAATTAAACTGAGTCATTGGCCGGGCGCGGTGGCTCAAGCCTGTAATTCCAGCACTTTGGGAGGCCGAGACGAGTGGATCACGAGGTCAGGAGATCGAGACCATCCTGGCTAACACGGTGAAACCCCCTCTCTACTAAAAAATACAAAAAAAACTAGCCGGGCGAGGTGGTGGGCGCCTGTAGTCCCAGCTACTCAGGAGGCTGAGGCAGGAGAATGGCGTGAACCCGGGAGGCGGAGCTTGCAGTGAGCTGAGATCCGGCCACTGCACTCCAGCCTGGGCGACAGAGTGAGACTCCATCTCAAAAAAAAAAAAAAACTTGAGTCATCAATGGGCTTTCAAAAGAAAAATATTCCAAGAAAATAGAATGGGTAAGATGGCACAGATTTCTTTCAACAACAAAGTACTAGGCAAAGCGACAACAACAAAGTAACCATGATTTTGAGAAACAGCAGCACAGGGTTGAGACATTGTGACTACACAGAGGAAAATCAGTCACAGCATACTACTTGGCTCTGCTGTGGACCAACATTTTCATAATGTTAATGCTGCTTATTGGTTACTATCTATTAGAATCAACTTATAGAAGACTTAGGCCGGGTATGGTGGCTTATGCCTGTAATCCCAGCACTTTGGGAGGCCAAGGCAGGCGGATATCGAGACCATCCTGGTCAAGATGGTGAAACCCCGTCTCCATTAGAAATACAAAAATTATCTGGGCATGGTAGTGTGCGCCTATAGTCCCAGCTACACAGGAGGCTGAGACGGGAGAATTGCTTGTACCCCAGAGGCGGAGGTTGCAGTGAGCCGAGACGGTGCCACTGCACTCCAGCCTGGCAACAGAGCGAGACTCCATCTCAAAAAAAAAAAAAAAAAAAAAAAAAAAAAGACTTAGTTACAGATGGGAATATAAATGTTATCAGTCGTGGAAATCTAAGAGTACAGCTTTGAAAAGTTTGGAGGTACAGAGGTTTGAGGCTGCAATGAGCTATGATTGCACCAGAGGTACTCCAGCCTGGTCAACAGAGGGAGGCCTCATTTCTAAAGAAATACGGAGGTAGAAGCAGAGGTGGGGAGTTCAAGGGAAGTAGGAGTTTCTCCTGTCATGAAATGGAGAACCAAGAGGTGCTGTCTATATTTAATAGAACTAAAAACAAAAGTTTAAGGATATTAAAGTTAACTAAAGTGAACAATAGGACTAAAAATTGTGGTGTTAACTACCATGTGCACCTTAGGGAGGTGAATTAAGCTGACTTTTTATCAGTCCTTGCAGGAGTCAGTGTCACAAAATAGCAGCTTAATCCTATTCATACAGTTGAAGATCAGGAGAATTTAAAACCACAAAGGTCAAAGTGGTTGCCCTTTGGAAGTGGGACTAAGGCTGGGGAGATAAAAAGCAAGGAACAATTGCTTTTTGTTGTAGGGCTTCCTCTACTCTTTTTTTTTTTTTTTTTTCAGTTTTTTTTTTTTTTCCTTTGACAAAACAAAAACCAAACATAACAATCCTGGTGAGAGTCACAGATCATCTATTTTAATGCCTGGAAATATATTCAGTGAGTCATCTTGTAGCTCTTAAACCAAAGTTAAAAAGTATAAGAAAGTCTATAACTGTAGACTACAAAGCAGTTATACAGAATGAAAACTCCCAGTCATCTCAGGAGAAGTGGTGTTTTATTTCTGGTTGCTGCCAGAAATATTTCTGTATATATCCAGAAGCTCTCCTGGCTGGGTATCCACAGCTTGGCAACAGCTGCATAAAAAGGGGGCCAGACCTCTCACCATCCCTTCTCCCCTACCCTCACCAATCTATTCTTACTGAGTTACAGGTTGAATTGCATCCCCTGCAAAATACATGCTGGAGTCCTAATGTGCAGTACCTCAGAATGTGATCTTATTTGGAAATAGGGTTGTTGCAGATGTAATTAGTTAAGATGAGGCCACACTGGGTTAGGGTGGTCCCTCAATCTGATATGACTGGTGTCCTTATACAAGGGGAAATTTACATTCAGAGACAGCACATAAAGGAAAGGCAATGTGAGGGAGAAGAAGGCCATCTACAAGTCAAGTATAGAAGCCTGGAACAGATCTTTTCCTTCCAGGCCTCAGAAGAAACAACACTGTCAACACCTTTATTTTGGACCTCTAGCCTCCAGAAGTATGAGATAATAAATTTGTTTAAACCATTCATTTAGCTTGTGGGACTTTGTTGCAGCAGCCCTGGCAAACTAATACACTGATGGAACAAGGGAAAGAGTCCCTTTCATGACTGCCAACATTGGGTGGGAAAGAAAAGCATTAGGCACCTTTGTCATCTTCTCCCCTGATGCTGTTACAAATTTAATCTGATAAAAATCTGTGTCTGTTGCTCAGTTCTCAAGAGCAGCATCCAGAGTACAGGTATGGGTATGGGTAGTACTGTTTTTTGTTTGTTTGTTTTTTGAGACGGAGTTTCGCTCTGTCACCCAGGCTGGAGTGCAGTGGCATGATCTCGGTTCACTGCAAGCTCCGCCTCCCAGGTTCAAATGATTCTCCTGCCTCAGCCTCCCAAGTAGTTGGGGTTACAGGCGCCAGCCACCACGTCTGGCTTTTTAGTAGGACAGTTTCACCATCTAGGCCATGGCTGGTCACAAACTCCTGACCTCAGGGGATCTGCCTACCTCGGCCTCCCAAAGTGCTGGGATTACAGGCGTAAGCCACCGTGCCTGGCCTTGTTTGTTGTTAATTGAAACTAGGCTTTGTTTAGAGTACAAAGAAAGCAGTGCAGATGTTGCAAATGTTGATCTGTAGCATTTCCCTTCTCTTATCACCACACTACAGAATAGTTGTACATTAACTCTGACATTGTGGAAGGAAAGTAATTGGAGCTGGCCAGAGCAAAGTCATTTTGTTCCTGAATGCCATTTTACAACTGCCAAACTGTAGAATGTACTTGCTGATGTTGCAGACAATATTGCTGCCACTTATGAAAAGGACTTTGCTGAGGACTGAACTTTTCTCAAACCCCTTCATCAAGGACTTTTGCCTAGAAACCAATGAACTGTCATGATAATGCTTTATCTTCAAAATGGTTATGAAAGTTATGGATGAACTAGTGAGAACTGACTTCTTCCTTTAAAAACCCTACCCAAAAATAGCTGGTCAAGACACAATTCAAATGCTTCCGGAATCTGTGTTCCTTGAACTGCAATTCTCAGACTGCCAATAAACTTATTTACTTGGATGTCAGTCTCTGTGTCTCTGGTTGACACGTTATAATGAACATGTTCAGCGCTTACAAGTAAAGTGTAACCAGATATTGTTCACAATAATCCTATGAGGTAGGTTCTATACTTTTATATAAAGGGACTTACTCTGCTGTATTAGTTTCCTAAGGCTTCTGTAACAAACTATGACAACCTAAATGGCTAAAACGACACGAATTTATTACCTTACAGTTCTGGAGGTCAGAAATACAGCTCACTGGGTTAAAATCAAGGCTTTAGCATGCACGGTGGTGCTTCCCTGGAGTCCCAGCCACTCAGAAAGCTGAGGTGGACGGATCGCTTGAGCCCAGGAGCTCAAAACCAGTCCTGGCAACATAACAAGACCCTGTTTCAAAAAAAAAAAAAAAAAAAAAAAAAATCAAGGTATCAGCTGGACTGTTACTTCTGGAAGCTCTGGGGAACAATTTTTTTTTTCCTTCTCCTTTTCTAGCTTTTCCTTTTTTTTTTTTTTTTTTTATGGCAACAGGGTCTCGCTCTGTCACTAAAGCTGGACTGCAGTGGTGGGATCATGGGCCCTCTCCAGCTCTAGTGATCCTTCTGCCCCAGTCCCCCGAACAGCTGGGACCACAGCACCTGCCGCCATGTCTAGCTAATTTTTCGTAGAGACGAGGGTATCACTATGTTACCCAGGCTGATCTCGAACTCCTGGGCTTGAGGGTTCCTCTCCCGCCTCTGCCTCCCAAAGCACTGGGATTGCAAACATGAGACACTGTGCCTGCTCCTCTTCCAGCTTCTTGAGGCCAGCTGCATTCTTTGGCTGTTGCCCCTTCCTCCATCTTCAAATAGCTTTCTGATTCTGACCTTTGCGGGCCCCCTCCCACTTTAGAGAACCCTTGTATTTACACTGGGCCCAACCACATACTCCAAGATCATCTCCTTATTTTAAAGTCAGCTGATTAGCAACCTTAATTCTATCTGCAATCCTAATCCCCTTTGCCAAGCAAGAGAACAAACGCACAGGTTCCAGGGAGTAGGATGTGGGCATCCTGAGGCGGGGCATTATCCTGCCTTCCACAATTGCCCATGGTCACACAGCTAGTAAGTGCTAGCTAGCACTGAGTGCTGTGCCCATGAAATTTATCTACATAGGCTTTCACTTAACCTGCAGACAGAACTCAGTTAGTGGGAGATACTTTCCCTCAATATTATTAGCATTGTTCCACTGCAACGTGGAACGACAGCTTTAAAACGTGCTCTTCGTAGGCCCGGCTACTCCAAGAACAGCGCCTCCCGCCAGACCCAGGCGGCTTCCTTCACCCGCAACCCGAGAGACGACCCGCAGGGCCCGCCCCGCGGAAGCCGCTGGTTGCCAGGCCAAGGAGAGGATGAGGGTTGCCGGGGAAGCGGGTGAGTGGTCCCCGCCCTGGAGGGCCGCCTCTGGAAAGAGGAGCGCGGCGCGTGGTGGCGGCGCGGAGCCTAGTGGGAGCGACGGGGAGCGAGGGGGAGACACGCCCCAGGCGCGCGGCGGCGCCCCTCATTTCCGCCTCGCAGTCTGGGTCCCTCGCCGCCTTGGGCTCTGGGCGCGCGGCGCCGTGGGGGCCAGCAGGGCGGAGCGGCTTTTCCAGGAGAAAGGGCCCTCACAGGTGAGCGGGGCGACTGGGCTCCGCAGTGGTGCAGTTGCCGCGCGGGCGCCTGTCCCGACCCAACGGGTTCTAGCTCGCTGTCCGGAAAGAACCAATGAGAAACGCTGTTGCAGCAAAAAAGAGGTTAATAAGCGCAGGGCTGGCCAAACCAGAACAGGGTCTCAGACCTGTCTCCCTGAGAATTCGGGGTCGAGGGTTTTAAACAGTATTTTGGCGGCAGAGGGCTGGGAAACTAAAACAATTGACCGGCTGGGGATGAAATCACAGGAGCGTCTGAAACTCTGAGCGGCTTCGTTGGTTCCCAGGAGGGGGTGGGGTCAGTTTCCCTTGTCTTGAAGTTAACACGAAATCCCTCGTAGTTACCCTAGCCTCTATGCTAGAATAAGAAAACGACAACACAAAATCTTACCCCGTGAGGTTAGAAGCAAGATGAGTCAGTCGTGTTAGATTTCTCTCATTATTTATATATCTGTAAAGGCGTTTTCAGGGCACTTTCTGAATTTAGCCCATGTCTCACCTGTGATCCCTCTTCTGGGTATTTGCAAATCACTTTATTAGGTTTTTAAAATTATCGCAGGCATGCGAAGGGGCCGATATACTTTTGCCATGTTCAGAGTGTATTCAGGTCTTGTAATGATCATACGGGTGTAATATTGAGTAAGAGGCAAATGTGGGCAGAAAAGATCAAATGTGGTTTTCAGCTAAGAAGTCTAGTTGCTCTTATTTTTTCAGTTACTCTCCATTGCATAGAATAAAGCCCCGGAGAAACGAAGAATAAGAACATGGGAAAACTTGGCTTCCATGTTAAACCGTGTAAATACCAGGTGTTAGAATAGTGGTAAAGGACTTGTTTCTTTCACATCCATGTACTCTCAAAGACCTCATCAGTCTTGGAAAAACATTGTTTCGAAGACAATGTGTATGATTGATTTGGTTATATGAAGAAATTATTTCTAGGATTTCCTTGTAATTCTGTGATAAGCAGGAATACAAACTGGAATTTTTGCAGGTCACTATAGTAGAGGTTTTAGTTTGATTTTTTGCTTTGCCTGTCATGCTCTCTCTTCCTTATAATTCTTTGTGGTATGATTAAAAAACAAACACTAGGGCTGGATGCGGTGGCTCACGCCTATAATCCCAGAACTTTGGGAGGCCAAAGTGGGCGGATCACCTGAGGTTGGGAGTTTGAGACCAGCCTGACCAACATGAACAAACCTCATCTCTACTAAAAATACAAAATAAGCCTGGTGTGGTGGCACATGCCTGTAATCCCAGCTACTCGGGAGGCTGAGGCGGGAGAATCGCTCGAACCTGGGAGGTAGAGGTTGCGGTGAGCCGAGATCGCGCCATTGCACTCCAGCCTGGGCAACAGGAGCGAAACTCCGTCTCAAAATAAAAAACAAAAAACAAACACTATAAGCTTTTTGAAAAATCAAGTAAATTCATTCCAGTGTTTTTCCTGCAATGAAAAAGAATGCATCACTTTTCTAAGGTTTTAATAATCATAATAGCTGCCGGTTATTCAGGACCTTCTATGTACCTGGCAGTGTTAGGAACTTTTTATCCATTTTCTCTTATGTGCTAAGCAGTCCTATTAGCTGCTTCATCCTGGAAACACAGATGGGAGACTGAAGTCAAGGACTACAACTGTGTGTTTAACATCTCTCTTGACTCTCAGTAACCTCCAGTTCGGCACGTCCAAAATGAAACACATGTCTCTTCTGCCAATATGTTTTGCCCCACCCCTGCAACACTCCCGCTGCCAGAAAAATCACACAAACAAAAACCTCCCACACAACCTTTGTGCCTTTCCTCTCTCAGGGAGTGCCAGAAACCATCTGGTTCATGCCAGAAACCTGGGAGTCAACCTTGCCCTCTTCGCTGCTTGCCCCCCCATAAATCTGCCACCACAAATCCTGTCAACTGTTCTTACATCTTTCCTTCCCATTTTTTCTGGCCCCATTGCCTCCACTCTATTCCATTTCATTATTTTCCTGCCTTTTCTGTTGTTGGAGCCTCCTAACTGGCCTGTGTGTCTGAGCTGACCTTCCGGCGCCTCCTCCACTGGTCCATTTAATCTGCAATCTGAGTGAATGTTTTTTTCTAATATGCAAATATGATATTGCGTTCTTGGTTAAAATGCTTCAGCAGCCTGTTACATTCTTCTTTCAATTTCTTGAACTGAATGTAATTTCTTTAGCTCTTAAATATGCAATTTCCTCTTCCATGATTACTGTTTTCCTCCTCTTTGTCTAGTCAAGTTTCATTCATCCTTCAGGCTTCAGCTTAAATAGCCTACATTTGTTGAGGTTTATGGTTATCTCTGATGGGATGTCCATGATGGCAGGGATTATGAGAGATTTGTTCAGATCATAACATCTGACTCAGTTGGTGCTCAGTGTCTACCTGTTGAATGTAGTATAGGGGAGGAAAAACATTTTTTTCTCTACCCTCTTAGGTTCAGTAGCTGGGCCCTGCAAAATAAACTGATGAAAGATAGATTAACAGGAAAAAAGGTTTATGCATAAATGTAAAGAAGTGGTTAGACCAGCGGGCCCACGTGCCATTTTAACAAAGAGCGATAAACTGTAGAGAAGTAACTAGACAAAAGTAGGGGAATTCTTCTTGGGTAAATTGTAGGAAGGTAAATATATGGGGGAAGCTAACAGAAGATAAGGGTTATTCAGTAAGGTTTGTTATGTGGACTCAAGTTGGCGCCTTCCCCGTTGGTAAGAGTTGCTCTCTTCCTGGTACTGGAAAGGAAGACACATTTACAAAAGGATGTTTATTACCTGTACATAGGAAAATTTAGGCCCTGCATTTATACAAAAAAGGGAGGGCAAAGAGCAAATTAGTTTCAGCTCAAAACAATTCTTACATGAAAGTGGCATATTTTGGGGTAGCATACACTGATCCCCTTCAAAAGGAATAAGTTGCTTTTCTCTTATCATGGTTATGAGAGCTACTTTGAATTAACTTCTGCTTTTTGAAAGTACGTTTAATTCTCAAATGTTTCTGCTTTGGAATGCAGTTTGGGAGAGCCCATGGTGACTGCATGAGTGGAGCCCAGCTGTGTGGATGCCCCAGCATGGATGACTACATGGTCCTGAGGATGATCGGGGAGGGCTCCTTCGGCAGAGCTCTTTTGGTTCGGCATGAAAGCAGTAATCAGACGTTTGCCATGAAAGAAATAAGGCTTCCCAAGGTCACTACTAAAGAAATTAGCTCACTTTGAAAGTATACATGCAATTTATATAAAAGAATAAGTTTTTGGCCAGGCATGGTGGCTCACACCTGTAATCCCAGCACTTTGGGAGGCAGAGGCGGGTAGATCACCTGAGGTCAGGAGTTTGAGATCAGCCTGAGGTCAGGAGTTTGAGGCCAGCCTGGCCAACATGGGGAAAACCCGTCTCTAGTAAAAATAATTTTTAAAAAATTAGCCAGGTGTGGTGGCGTGCACCTGTAGTCCCAGCTATTTGGGAGGCTGAGGCAGGAGAATCACCCGAACCTGGGAGGCGGATGTTGCAGTAAGCTGAGATCGTGCCACTGCACTCCAACCTTGGTGACAAAATAAGACACTGTCTCAAAAAGTAAATAAATGAATAATAACTTTTTTAGTTTTAACATGGAATTTCTCCTTCATGCAAAAGATAGAATTGGTTTATTCGTTAGCTTTACAAGGGCTCAATACATTATATGTGGTTCTTAGGATATTGTAATTAACAATGGGAGAAAAACAGTAAAAGTTTTGGAGGCGATTACTACTAATTTTATTTCAGCAAATAATTGGTAATAACTTCCACTTTTGTATACCTAATGGTGTAGGAAATCTTTGCCAAAGCAACTCAGGTGCGATATTAATGAAAAAGGATCATAAAAATACAATGAAGAACAAATGCTAACCTTTGGTACCAGCACACCTACTCTGTGGATCAGTTTATAGGTTTTATTTCCTTGTAGACCATTACTATGTATCATAGTTGTCCTGTGAAAGAATTCATTACATGAAGACTATGTCATAATATTTTGGATCAATTTTTAAAAAACACAGTCTAATAAAGGTCTCAGAGTGCTAGGTATTTTTTCCCACTGTATTCTTGACTTCATTCAGTGATTTTCAAACTTGAGTGAGCATCATAATCAGCTGGAGGGCTTGTTAAACCATGGATTGCTATGCTCCACCCCCAGGCTTCCGACTGAGGAGGGCCAGGTGGGCTTGTGAATTTGCATTTTTAATAAGTTCCCAGTTGGTGCTGATGCTGCTGGTCTGAACACCCTTGTGTTATTACACAATCAATGGCGATTTCTTTTCTTTCTTTTTTTAAATTTATAGATGGAGTCTTGCTCTATTGCCCAGGCTGGAGTGTAGTGGCACAACCATAGCTCATTGCAGCTCAAACTCCTGGGCTCAAGCGATCTTCCCACCTCAGCCTCTCCAGTGGCTGGGACTATAAGTGTATACACTATAGGTGTAGTATAGTCCCAGCCACTGGGGAGGGTAGCCACTACACCCAACTAACAACGGCAATGAAAAAAGAAAATAAAAGTACAATGAAGGGGTCAGCTCAAGCATGAAAATATAGCCAGAGTTGGAAAATCACCATGCATTTTCTCTTGTCATTTGACAAATTTAAGTTGAGCCAAAGTGTAGTGTTAAAAAACTGCATCTAGCATTGAAGTATCATGTAAACTATATTATTATAAAGTTATCTATTTTAAATGCAGTATTAAATTTATGCTTATTTAAAATGTTTTTTTAGTCTTTCTCTAATACACAGAATTCTAGGAAGGAGGCTGTTCTTTTAGCCAAAATGAAACACCCCAATATTGTTGCCTTCAAAGAATCATTTGAAGGTAAATACAAATTCCCCCAGATACGTGCATTTCTGAATTTGATTTATAGCCACTACAACTTTTCTAAAGAGCTTGTATCTGTTTTAGCTGAAGGACACTTGTATATTGTGATGGAATACTGTGATGGAGGGGATCTAATGCAAAAGATTAAACAGCAAAAAGGAAAGTTATTTCCTGAAGACATGGTAAGAGATTGACTTACATAGTTTCTCTCAAGGTTTAGAAGCCACTTTTCTCATAAACTTTGTATAAGTTAAAACAAAAGCATTGATATTTGTAATTACCTGAGAAGGTAAATAGAAATGACTGATTTCTGTATTGGTGTTACCACTTAGTGTCCCCAGGAGATGGCTGCCTGAAATGGTTTTAGGAAGTAAAATCTATATAAATTATTAAGAAATAAAACTTTCATGTTTAGAATAATTTCAAGATTGTATCACCAGATTTTGTACTAGATATTTAAAATCTTGATTTCTTTTTCTTTTTCTTTTTTTTCTTTTTGAGAGAGAGTCTTGCTCTGTCGCCCAGGCTGGAGTGCAGTGGTGCGATCTCGGCTCACTGCAAGCTCATCCTCCCGGGTTCATGCCATTCTCCTGCTTCAGCCTCCTGAGTAGCTGGGACTACAGGCGCCCGCCACCATGCCTGGCTAATTTTTTGTATATTTAGTAGAGACGGGGTTTCACTGTGTCAGCCAGGATGGTCTCGATCTCCTGATCTCATGATCCACCCGCCTCATCCTCCCAAAATTCAGGGATTACAGGCGGGAGCTACCGCGCCCGGCCTAAAATCTTGATTTTTATCATACTGAAATTTTTAGAAGACAGGTGTATTTTATTTTGTATTATTAAAACATCAGAAGAATGAAGCTTGCCATTTCTGTTTCTTGGGAGTACCTATTCTCAATCTTTTTCCTCCTAAAGCTTGAAGTGGTCCCTTCAGTCTAAGACTTGCTGTCTTTTTAGTGGAAAATTGCATACTAAATATTTTTTAATGTATTGGCTATGGAAAATACTTAAATTGCTCCGATGAGGCTTAGTTTGATTTAGGTTATAGCATGTTATGAAAGTATGTAAATAAATATAAATAAATATTATACATTTAGAAATTGTATTGTTAAAAATATGGGTTCTGTAGAAGGAAGTCAACCTTGGCTTCAACTGGAAGAATCTCCATAGCAAAAGTGAAAAAAAAATTAATTTGACATTTAACTGTAGGCCCTCAAGACACCTAGAAATTCTGGGTACTGTTGACCTTGGACTTACAAGCAGGAACTATTGACCTCAAAGGATTATTTATAATATAATGAAGTATTTTAATGTTATCATACGGATATTCTGCAAAAGTAAATGAAAATCCAACATAATGATTACACTGGAAAAGCTGTAGTGCATTTCTTATTGGTGAACTACCTTTATATAAGCATTTAAGAATACTTTTATTTGGTTGAATATAAGAAAAATATAAGTGGAAGTTTTACTAAAATAAATTGTTATTTGGATCATGTATAAGATGCCGGAATATGGGAGTCACAGCTTTTCTGAATTTCTCCAAGTAACACTGAATCTTAGTTGAACTATGTAATTTTCAGGAGTTCTGTACTCGCATTATGTAAAATCTTAGTCAACTAAGGCCTAGAGATGATTCTTTGGAATTTTAGGTTAAGATGAGCCAGTTACTGCATTCTTGAAGATTTTGCATACCTTTTTCTTACAGATACTTAATTGGTTTACCCAAATGTGCCTTGGGGTAAATCACATTCACAAGAAACGTGTGCTACACAGAGATATCAAGTCCAAGGTGAGTGGAGTACATTTTGGACTTAAAAAAAAACTATTTAATTCAGTAATTTTGCTGTGTTATCCCATGCATTTTGGGACATTTTTGTTTAGGAATATTTGTCAGCTTAATATTTGTTACTTACTTTTCAAATTAAAATTTCGCCCACCTTTATTAAAATGTAGTTGACAAAAATTATGTATATTTATGATGTATAACATGATGTTTTATATATATACACACACATTGTAAAATGATTAAATCAAGGTAATTAACGTATCTATCACCTCACATACTTATTATTTCTTTGTGGTGAGGACATTTAAGATCACTCTCAGCACTTTTTAAGTATTCTATGCATTATTAAGTATTAAGTATTCTATGCATTATTATTAACCATAGTCACCATGTTGTACAACAGATCACTGGAACTTACTTGTCCTAACTGAAACTTTGTACCCTTTTACTTAATATTTATACTAACCAAATAAAGTAATACCTGAGAAAAAGTCATTGAAATCTCTGTAGTAGTACAGTCATGCCTCACTTAGTGATGGGGGACAAGTACTCAGAAATGCTTCGTAAGGTGATTTTGTTGTGTGAGCGTCGTCGAGTGTACTTACACAAGCCTAGATGGTATAGCCTGTTACACACCTAGGCTATATAGTGTAGCCTGTTGGTTCTTGGCTACAAACCTGTACAGCATGTTACTGTACTGAATTTCTTAGGCAATTGTAGCACAATGGTAAGTATTTGTGTATTTAAACGTAGAAAAAGTACAGTAAAAATATAGTATTATAGTCTTCTGGGACCATTGTCATATATGCCATCCGTTGTTGACCGAAATATGGTTATGCAGCACGTGACTGTGTATGTTAATGTGTCCTAGCTCTCTTTTAGTGACCACTTACTAAGTCCATGTGTTCTCAGATGGAAAATGGTTGACACCTGGGCCTGCCATGTGGCATCACCCTGACACAGGTTTTCACCGGCTGGATGGAGTCTGCTGATACAACCTAAAACTTGCTTGTTAGATTTGAAGCACTCATCCTGAGTTTCCATGCAGGGGAATGTCTAGCTGTCAAGAGGGGATCTTGGTGTTTTGTGTTCCACTCTGGGACTCAGCTGTCAGCATTTCTACCCTTGATCTCCATCATCAGCAGGCTTTGGAAGACAGCTTATCTGCCTCATGTTCGATGATGGAAGACATAATCTGAGTTCTTCTTTTCAAATGCAGAATATCTTCCTCACTCAAAATGGAAAAGTGAAATTGGGAGACTTTGGATCTGCCCGTCTTCTCTCCAAGTATGTATGTCTGTTCTACGGTAGTGACAGTAATCAAAACATCCATTTTCAGGAATGTTCTGTAATCATTCTTTGCCTTTTTTTGGTTTTAGTCAGATGGCATTTGCTTGTACCTATGTGGGAACACCTTATTATGTGCCTCCAGAAATTTGGGAAAACCTGCCTTATAACAATAAAAGGTGAGTGCTGCATATTTGATGTAAGGGTGCCCATTTGGTGACAGGCATTTTAGCCTGCAGATGATGCAAGAGTCTGATGTCACTTCAAAACAGATGCATGGATCATATTGGTTTTTAAAAAATATATCTGAAAGCAGTCTGGAATCTATATTTCTAATCTATATTGCTAGGCTGCTAGATAAAAGTAATAGTTTTCCAATTGCTATTAATGATAGCTGAGAGGAGCAAATGCTGAAAGAAAGGCCAGTCATTCTAGGGACGGTATGAATTATATCAGTAGTTCCCAAACTTTGCTGCTCCCACTTACAAAAATCCCAAATCCCAGGTTGCATCTACACTAATTAAATCATAATGGCAAAGGGTGAGAAGCAGGCACCAGTAATTTTTCAAGATCATTGGGTGATTCCAATGTACAGCAACATTTGATAATCAATAGATTGTGTCATTGAGTTGGCATTTCCAGGGCTAGATTATAAGCACTTGGTTGATAGGTAAATTGATTGAAGGAGGTTAGTATGAAGGTCTTAATGATTTAAAATGCAGTATTTTTTTCTGAATATAAGTTATATGTGCCTATTGTGGGGATGGACGTGCAGGCAAGATTGGAAATAGACCTGTAAGAAAGGACATGGAAATCACCCACTCTTCCCAACTGCCAGTAATATTTTAATGTTTTTTTCTTCATTCACTTTTCCCCCTAAAAGTATATATATATATTTTTTTATATATATATAAAGTATATTTTATATATAATTTGCTTTTGTCATTTTATATTATAGTCATTTCCCCACATACTTAAACTCTTCATAAATTTTAATGGCTGCATATATTTTACTATATGGCACTTCCAAAATTTACTTAGTAATTCCTCTGTTGTTGGCCTTATATTTCGAGATTTCAGTCTTATAAACAGTGCTGTAATTAACATACCTTTTGTATATAAATTTATCCTTGTTTAATATCACATTCTTGGCATGGATTCCTAGAAGGAGAAACAACACTGTTGTTACTTTATGCTGACTTGCTTTCTGAAAAGCAAATACACTAAATAGGTTTCTTAAAGAGTAGAATGGACTGAATGGGGGCAAAACAGCTCTACAGGGACTTGTTGGGACAACTGAGGAAATTTGGGTATGCAGTAAATATTAAATAATGTTACTGAATTGAGATTAAATTCCTTGGATGTGATAACAGTATTGTGTTTATGAGGGAAAGTGTACGTCTTTGTTCTTAGGAGATACATGCTGATGTGTGTGTAGGGATGAAGTATTTGATACCTGCAACCTTTTTTTTTTTTTTTTTTTTTTGAGATGGAGTCTCACTCTGTTGCCCAGGCTTGAGTGCAATGACACAATCTTGGCTCACTGCACTCCGCCTCATGGGTTCAAGCGATTCTCCTGCCTCAGCTTCCTGAGTAGCTGGGACTACAGGCACCTGCCGCTACACCCGGCTAATTTTTATATTTCTTAGTAGAGACGGAGTTTCACCATATTGGCCAGGCTGGTCTCGAACTGCTGACCTTCTGATCTGCCCTCCTGGGCCTCCCACAGTGCTAGGATTACAGGTGTGAACCACCACGCCCGGCCTGCAACCTTTTTTCGAGAGATTCAGATAGATATAGAGGAGGGAGATTAGCACCCAAACATGGCCAATGAGAATGACTGGGGAACCTAGATAAGGGCATGTGGACATTTGCGACTTTTCTGTAGATTTGAAATTAAAATAGAAAACTAAAAGGGGAAATAGTTGGTAAAAACCATTAATTAAAATTTAAAAATACCATTTAGAAAAGTCTGGAGGAGCTGGGCCTGGTGGTGCGTGCTTGTAGTCCCAGCTACCTGGGAGGCAGAGGCAGGAGGATTGCTTGAGCCCAGGAGTTCAAGGCAGCAGTACAGTGACATCATGCCTGTGAATAACCACTGCACTCCAGCCTGGGCAACACAGTGAGACCCCATCCCTTAAAAAAAAGAAAATGGTGGCCGGGCGCAGTGGCTCATGCCTGTAATCCCAGCACTTTGGGAGGCTGAGGCCAGCAGATCATGAGGTCAGGAGATCAAGACCATCGTGGCTAACACGGTGAAACCCCGTCTCTACTAAAAAGAATACAGAAAAAAAAAAAAAAAAATTAGCCAGGCGTGGTTGCGGGCGCCTGTAGTCCCAGCTACTTGGGAGACTGAGGCAGGAGAGTGGCTTGAACCCAGGAGGCAGAACTTGAAGTGAACCGAGATTGCACCACTGCACTCCAGCCAGGGCGACAGAGCAAGACTCCGTCTCAAAAAAAAAAAGGAAGAATCCTATCCCTTAGAGCCATCCAGCAGACTGTGTGGAAAGCAGAGAGAGCTGCCCAGCAGGAGATGTGATCAAAGGCTGGGTGCTGTGTCCAGGGTGGTGGGAACAGAAGCTGCACTGAATGCCTTCCAGAGTCCTTCTTCCAGCTGTGATCAGCTGAGTCTGCACATTTTCCCTCTTGCTACTGAATTCCCAAATGCTACTGAAGTGATATTTTAACCACCCTGATTTGAAGGGGTGGGGATTGAAGAGCAGAGAGTTTTATTGTGAACATTACTCTTAGGAAGTATCTAGGTGTTAGACCAAAATTATATGTTTTAATACCTGGGAATTACTTGTGATCTCTTTTCTTATTAAAGGTAAGAAATTATTTTTTGTACTAGAAAATACATAACCCATTTGTGATTACATTGCTTCTTTATGCTTTCAGTGACATCTGGTCCTTGGGATGCATTCTGTATGAACTCTGTACCCTTAGGCATCCAGTAAGTATGGCATGCAAAATGGAAAAGGCAGCTTGTCATATCTACCTGAGTCCTAATAATGTGACAGATTCTAGTTGGCAGTTTGCTTCCCTAGGATGAAGTCATTATAAAAGTTTGTATATGTTCCCAGTGCAGTCATCTGCCCTGAGTTAGTTTTGTAGCATATACTAATAGGAAATTTCCATTATTTAGTTTTGCTGTGCAATACATAACCTTTCTCTCTCTCTTTTTCTTTCTCTATTCCTCTTTTCTTTCTTTTTGCTATTCTTAATTTTTTATTTTGATAAATATAAAATTTGCCATTTTATCCATTTTTAAGTATACATTTCATTGTCATTAATTACATTCACAATATTGTGAAACCATCACTACTATCTCTTTGGGGGTTTTGTTTTGTTTTGTTTTGTTTTAGAGACAGAGTCTTGCCCTGTTACCCAGTCTGGAATGAAGTGGCGCGATCTCAGCTCACTGCAGTCTCCACCTCCTGGGTTCAAGTGATTCTCCTGTCTCAGCCTCCCAAGTAGCTGGGAGTACAGGTGCATACCACCATGCCCAGCTAATTGTATGTGTGTGTTTTTACTAGAGACATTTTTGTATTTTTTTGTATTTTCCCCATGTTGACCAGGCTGGTCTCAAACTTCTGACCTCAGGTGATCCACTCGCCTCAGCCTCCCAAAGTGCTGGGATTACAGGTGTGAGCCACTATGCCCAGCCACTGCTATCTCTTTGTAAAACTTTTGTCATTACCCCAACCAGAAATTCTGTACCCATTAAACAGTTACTCCCCATTTCTTCCCTTTCCCCAGCCCCCCTAGTCTAATTTCTGCCTCATGAATTTGCATATTCTAGATATTTCATACAACTGGAATTATACAACATTTGCCTTTTTGTGTCTGGTTTATTTCACTAGCACAGTGTTTTCAAGGTTCATTCATATTGTAACATCTATCAGGATTCCATTCCTTTTTATGGCTGAATAGTATTCCATTGAGTGTATAGACATGTTTATCCATTCATCTGTTGAGGGACACTTGAGTTGTTTCTGTCTTTTGGCTGTTGTAAATAATGCTGTTATGAACAATGGTGTACAAGTATCTGTTAGAGTCCCTGATTCCGAATTTTGAGGTCTGTATCTAGCAGTGGAACTGCCGGGTCATATGGGAATTGTATTTAGCTTTTTGAGGAAGCACCAAACTTTGCCAAGAGTGGCTGCATCATTTTTTTCCTCACAGCTTTTTGCAGTTAGATTTCACTTATCATATGAGTTTCCTCTCTAACTGACATATCATGAAAACATAGACTTTGCCCTGTTATATGTTTTTTCAAGATATTTTTAAAAATATGAACCAAAAAAAGGTTAAATAACTTGTCCCGCTTGTTCAGCCATAGTTTATTACATAGACAACAACTGCAGGGCTAATTCCTATTAGTTCTTAGCTTTGCATAGAAATAAATTCTGTTCTTTGGGCACAGATTGAAAGTTGACTTTTTTGCAGATGTACTTGAGGGCACATAGAGCTCAGAAGAGGGTGAATGGTTGAGAAACAATCGTCATCACTACCAGATGAAAGTAACTCAAACTGCTGAAGACACCTGATATTAATGAGAGGTTATCTTTGAATATAAGTGGTTTATAATGATAGCTACACAGTTAGAACAACTTGCGGAACCTTTAAAATGCTGATGCCTAGGCCCACAGCACAGTGATTGAAATAAAATCTCTGAAAATGTCCTGGGCATTACTGTTTTTAAAACAGGTGATTACAATGTACAGCCCAAGTTGAGAACCACCATAGTCTATGAATAAAATTATTTTTAAAATTCCAACATCTTTTAATTCTTTACTTCCTGATTGTATCTTTTTTTGTAACTTACATGTACACATTCTTCTTTTTTCTAGCAAGAATGAGTATTAAGAACTATAGTGCCCAGAATATTTGGCACGAGATCTGTCATCCCTTGTCTGCTCGAAGACAAAAGTTTTTCTCAAACCTTTAGGAAATGCAGATAGTTAGTGTAATGGTTAAAAAGCCGGAGGCAAAGCAGATTCAGCAGTATTTGTCATTATCAGCATTTGTACTTTGTTACTTGTTGATTTTTCTTTTTCATATATTCACTTGCATTTTTTATTCACAGGACAATATACTTTTTTGAAAATAAACTTCTTTTAAATTTTAAAACAGTTTTAGATTTACAGAAAAATTACAAAGATAGTACAAAAAGCTTCCATATATGCCAAACTGTAATTAACATCTAACATAGCCTTGAGGTGTAGAAACATTTCTTAAGCAAGATTCAACAAGCAGAAACTATTAAGGAAAAATGATGAATAAATTTGACTATACTAAATTTTAAAGATACCATAAATAAAAACATAATATACAGATCAGCAGAAAACATTTTCAAATGTAACTAGCAGTGAATTAATCAAATATCTTTTTTTTAATTTTTATTTTAAGTTCTGGGGTACATGTTCAGAGTATGCAACTTTATTACATAGGTAAATGTGTGCCATTGGTGATTTGCTGCACCTATCAACCCATCACGTAGGTATTAGGGCAATACACTTTCAAGGTAGAATGCTAACACATTCTTTCATAAGCATTTTCAAGGCTGACATCTAATGTTAGTTCTGATGTATTTATTATACATTGAAAACTTTAAAAATTTTACTCCAGTCTGTCATTGTAGATCCCACAGTGTTACTCGTCAAATTTTAATAGCTGCTTTAATGACAGGAATGGTTAAAAAGGATTTTGCAGTAGAAGTTTAAAATTGGAAAAGTCTGGCCAGGTGCTGTGGCTCATGCGTGTAATCTCAGCACTTTGAGAAGCCAAAGTGGGAGGATCGTTTGAGCCCAGGAGTTCAAGACCAGCCTGGACAACATAGCAAGACCCTGCCTCTAAAAAAAAAAAAAATTAAAAAATTAGCTGGGCATGGTGGCATATGCCTGTAGTCCTAGCTATTTGGGAGGCTGAGGTGGGAGGAGCACTTGAGCCCGGGAGGTCAAGGATGCAGTGAGCTGTGATTGCACCGTTGCACTCAAGCCAAAAAACCACCTGTAGAAAACCAGAAAAGTCTGAAGTGCATGTTGCTGTGGAGCAGGCCTGGCAGTTTCTGGGGAGGAGCGGAGCAAAGGGATATTACACTTATTATAAACCTTTTAGTATCATTTGATGTTTTAAAAAGCCATATGTATATATTACTTTGATTTTCAATATATACTTATAATGTGTATCTGCAAAATCATTAGGACTAATAAGGTAGACAAAGCAGGCATTGATGGAAATACTTTTTCTAGATGGCAAAGGTTTTTACCATTCATGCTTGACTTTCTCCTAAACCACCTTAAGATTATATAATGGTATGTTAACGGCACCTCTAGACAGAAAAATGACCAGATAGCAGATATGTTTATAAAATTAAAATAGTCTACATAACTGGTAGTTTCTTACTTCCATTTCTTCCCCTGTATCTGCTTGTAAAGTTCAATTTTTCTTTTCAGTTTCAGGCAAATAGTTGGAAAAATCTTATCCTCAAAGTGTGTCAAGGGTCCATCAATCCTCTGCCATCTCATTACTCCTACGAACTTCAGTTCCTAGTCAAGCAGATGTTTAAAAGGAATCCCTCACATCGCCCCTCGGCTACAACGCTTCTCTCTCAAGGCATCATAGCTCGGCTTGTCCACAAGTGCCTACCCCCCGAGGTATGATCTGTGTTGGATTGGCTGTGAACAGTTTTCAAGTGTATGGTAAAATGGTTTGTTATCTTTTAACATTACACATTACATGTGCTCATCAAAATCCAAATGGTACAGAAGTATATTAAAAATAAAAAATTAAAACCTCCTTTCCTTCCTCTTTTCCCCCCAACAATGCTATTGCCCAAGTATAATCACAGTTTGTATATCCTTCCAGACCTTTTTTAGACATATATAAATGTCTGCATTTGTCTATCTAAATTATATGTACTTTTTTTTTTTTGAGATGGAGTCTTGCTCTGTCGCCCAGGCTGGAGTGCAGTGGCGTGATCTTAGCTCACTGCAACCTCCACCACCCTGGTTCAAGCAATTCCCCTGCCTCAGCCTCCCAAGTAGCTGGGATTACAGGCACACACCACCATGTCCGGCTAATTTTTTTGTATTAGTAGAGACAGGGTTTCACCATGTTAGCCAGACTGGTCTCGAACTCCTGACCTCAAGCAATCTGCCCGCCTCGGCTTCCCAAAGTGCTGGGATTACAGGTGTGAGCCACCATGCCCGGTGTATATGTACTTTTTTAAGTGGCACTTTTGTTTTTCAACTTGAAATATTATTGTGCTGAAAATGCTGATGAAATGATATCACAGCAGTATCTATAGAAAAATATGTTTTCACATCTTTAAATTCTCAACTTTAAATTTCAGATCATCATGGAATATGGTGAGGAGGTATTAGAAGAAATAAAAAATTCCAAGTATAATACACCAAGAAAAAAAAGTAAGAATTTTGGACAGAGTATATTTTGTTAAGTGCTCTTTTAAAAATATACTATAACAGAAAAGAAATACATAATTTTTAGGTTATTAGAGATGATTATCAGAGATACTCCTCAAATGAACATTTTCTTTTTGTTATTTTAGATGTAATTCTGTACTGAATACTGTCCTTTTTGATCCCTGAAACAATTGGGGTTTTAAAAAGCCTAGTTTTGGATATTTTAATGACGGAAAGATGATGCCGTCATTATTAGTACCATATTTTCTCTGGCTTGTTGTGTAGGTCAGGTAGAAGGCTTCTTCTGTGGGCTGACCTGAGAATCTGTCCAGGAAAATATGGCACTAATCTTGTAGGAAAATGTATCCCAAGTTTCTGAAGAACCATCATGTAAACAGACTTTTTGAAAAGAGAAGCTTTTCTTTTTTATCTATATATATTATTATTGTTGTTATTATACTTTATGTTCTAGGGTACGTGTGCACAACGTGCAGGTTTGTTACATATGCATACATGTGCCATGTAGGTGTGCTGCACCCATTAACTCGTCATTTACATTAGATATATCTCCTAATGCTATCCCTTCCCCCTCCCCCAACCCCGCAACAGGCCCCGGTGTGTGATGTTCCCCTTCCTGTGTCCAAGTGATCTCATTATTCAATTCCCACCTATGAGTGAGAACATGCGGTGTTTGGTTTTCTGTTCTTGTGATAGTTTGCTGAGAATGATGGTTTCCAGCTGCATCCATGTCCCTACAAAGGACACTAACTCATCGTTTTTTATGGCTGCATAGTATTCCCTGGTGTATATGTGCCACATTTTCTTACTCCAGTCTGTCACTGATGGACATTTGGGTTGATTCCAAGTCTTTGCTGGTGTGAATAGTGCCGCAGTAAACATACATGTGCATGTATCTTTATAGCAGCATGACTTATAATCCTTTGGGTATATCCCCAGTAATGGGATGGCTGGATCAAATGGTATTTCTAGTTTTAGATCCTTGAGGAATCGCCACACTGTTTTCCACAATGGTTGAACTAGTTTACAATCCCACCAACAGTGTGAAAGTGTTCCTATTTCTCCACATCCTCTCCAGCACCTGTTGTTTCCTGATTTTTTTAATGATCGCCATTCTAACTGGTGTGAGATGGTATCTCATTGTGGTTTTGATTTGCATTTCTCTGATGTCGAGTGATGATGAGCATTTTTTCATGTGTCTGTTGCCAGCATAAATGTCTTCTTTTGAGAAGTGTCTGTTCATATCCTTTGCCCACTTTTTGATGGGGTCGTTTGTTTTTTTCTTGTAAATTTGTCTGAGTTATTTATAGGTTCTGCATATTAGCCCTTTGTCAGATGAGTAGATTGCAAAAATTTTCTCCCATTCTGTAGGTTGCCTGTTCACTCTGATGGTAGTTTCTTTTGCTGTGCAAAAGCTTGTTAGTTTAGTTAGATCCCATTTGTCAATTTTGGCTTTTGTTGCCATTGCTTTTGGTGTTTTAGACATGAAGTCTTTGCCCATGCCTATGTCCTGAATGGTATTGCCTAGATTTTCTTCTAGGGTTTTTATGGTTTTAGATCTAACATTTAAGTCACTAATCCATCTTGAATTAATTTTTGTATAAGAAGTAAAGAAGGGATCCAGTGTCAGCTTTCTACTTATGGCTAGCCAGTTTTCCCAGCACCATTTATTAAATAGGGAATCCTTTCCCCATTTCTTGTTTCTGTCAGATTTGTCAAAGATCAGATGGTTGTAGATGTATGGTATTATTTCTGAGGGCTCTGTTGTGTTCCATTGGTTTATATCTCTGTTTTGGTACCAGTACCATGCTGTTTTGGTTACTGTAGCCTTGTTGTATAGTTTGAAGTCAGGTAGCGTAATGCCTCCAGCTTTGTTCTTTTGATTTAGGATTGTCTTGGCAATGCGGGCTCTTTTTTGGTTCCATATGAACTTTAAAGTAGTTTTTTCCAATTCTGTGAAGAAAGTCATTGGTAGCTTAATGGGGATGGCATTGAATCTGTAAATTACCTTGGGCAGTATGGCCATTTTCACAATATTGATTCTTCCTGTCCATGAGCATGGAATGTTCTTCCATTTGTTTGTGTCCTCTTTTATTTCATTGCACAGTGGTTTGTAGTTCTCCTTGAAGAGGTCCTTCACATCCCTTGTAAGTTGGATTCCTAGGTATTTTATTCTCTTTGAAGCAATTGTGAATGGGAGTTCATTCATGATTTGGCTCTGTTTGTCTGTTACTGGTGTATAAGAATGCTTGTGATTTTTGCACGTTGATTTTGTATCCCGAGACTTTGCTGAAGTTTCTTATCAGCTTGAGGAGATTTTGGGCTGAGACAATGGGGTTTTCTAAATATCCAATCATGTCATCTGCAAACAGGGACAATCTGACTTCTTCTTTTCCTAATTGAATACCCTGTATTTCTTTCTCTTGCCTGATTGCCCTGGCCAGAACTTCCAACACTATGTTGAATAGGAGTGATGAGAGAGGGCATCCCTGTCTTGTGGCAGTTTTTAAGGGGAATGCTTCCAGTTTTTGCCCACTCAGTGTGATACTGGCTGTGGGTTTGTCGTAAATAACTCATTATTTTGAGATATGTTCCATCAATACCGAATTTATTGAGAGTTTTTAGCATGAAGGGCTGTTGAATTTTGTCAAAGGCCTTTTCTGCATCTATTGAGATAATCATGTGCTTTTTGTCTTTGGTTCTGTTTATATTTGCGTATGTTGAACCAGCCTTGCATCCCAGGGATGAAGCCCACTTGATCATGGTGGACAAGCTTTTTGATGTGGTGCTGGATTCGGTTTGCCAGTATTTTACTGAGGATTTTTGCAACGATGTTCATCAGGGATATTGGTCTAAAATTCTCTTTTTTTGTTGTGTCTCTGCCAGGCTTTGGTATCAGGATGATGTTGGCCTCATAAAATGAGTTAGGGAGGATTCCCTCTTTTTCTATTGATTGGAATAGTTTCAGAAGGAATGGTACCAGCTCCTCCTTGTACCTCTGGTAGAATTCGGCTGTGAATCCATCTGGTCCTGGACTTTTTTGGGTTGGTAGACTATTAATTATTGCCTCAATTTCAGAGCCTGCTATTGGTATCTTCAGAGATTCAACTTCTTCCTGGTTTAGTCTTGGTAGAGTGTATGTGTCCAGGAATTTATCCATTTCTTCTAGGTTAAAAGAGAAGCTTTTCTAATGTAAACTGTGGACTCTGGGTGCTGGGTGGTAGTGATGTGTCAGAGTAGGCTCATCGACTGTAAAGGAGCGGCATGTTGATATTGGGGAGGTACTGTGTGTCGGGGGACAGGTGGTATATGGGACTCTGTGTACTCACCACTCAGTTTTGTGGTGAACCTAAAACTGCTTGTTTTTTTTTGAAATGGAGCTTCACTCTTGTTGCCCAGGCTGGAGTGCAATGACACAATCTTGGCTCACTGCAACCTCTGCCTCCCAGGTTCAAGCGATTCTCTTGCCTCAGCCTCCCATGTGCTACCATGCCTGGCTAATTGTTTGAATTTAGCAGAGATGAGGTTTCACCATGTTGGTCAGGCTGGTCTCGAACTCCTGACCTCAGGTGATCCACCCACTTCGGCCTCCTGAAGTGCTGGGATTACAGGCCTGAGCCACTGTGCCTGGCCTAAAACTGCTCTTAAACAATAAAATATCCTAATTAAAAACAAAAACCAGAGGCTTTTCCAAAGTTGTGAATCATCCACATAATAGCTGCATGAAATTTTCATACATCTATAGTCTATCCTGAGAAAATGTCAAATTTAATTTATTGTCTCTTTAGAAGTTGTCATCTCTGAATTTTTTTCAAAGCTATTTTTATTCCTTTTCCTTTCTCATCAGTGATTTCCTTCTGAAGAAATCCAACAGAGCTAGTAGCTATGAACAGAATACAGGAGAAAAATTAGAAGTGTGGGAGATCACCCACTGCTGGGACATGTTGCAAAACCTCCATTGCCTGGTGCTCTTTATCATAATGTTATATGCAGATACTACAAAAGAAACATTTTGTATTGTTTTCTTAAACTTTTAAATGTTGTTTTTGGAAGGATGCAAACCCTTCAGTCTTACAACTCAACCTTTTCTCCATTAGTTAAGAGATAGCCAGTTACCTTTCTTTTACCAGTTTGCTTTAGCGTAGGTGTTATTCTGTGGCTTTTGTTCGTATCCCAAGGTAGTGGGAAATTAGTTTTAAAATGCTGGGCAAGAAAAAAAAGAGACTAAGAAAAATTTCAAGGTAGTTTGGAAAAGTGTAGATTTTTAAAAATTAACTTTATTTTGTTTTTGAGACAGAGTCTCACTATGTCTTCCAGGCTGGAGTGCAGTGGTACGATCTTGACTCATTGCAACCCCTGCCTCCCGGGCTCAAGCAATTCTCGTGCCTCAGCCTCCAGAGTGGCTGGGACTACAGGCATGTGCCACCATACTTGGCTAATTTTTTTTTTTTTTTTTTTTGGTAGAGACAGGGTTCACCATGTTGACCAGACTGGTCTCAAACTCCTGACCTCAGGTGATCCACCTGCCTTGGCCTCCCAAAGTGCTGGGATTACAGGGATAAGCCACTGTACCCGGCCGAAAAAGTGTAGTGTTACAGTTTCTTAAGAGGAATAAAGTAGTTAGAGAAATGCCACCAAACTGGGACCATATGTCTGATGGCATCTCCAGTTTAATCTGTAGACAGACCAGAACAATGAAATGGAACAGGGCAGGGATCGCATCTGACTTGCTCACTCTTGTATTCTTAGTGTATCATCATCCATGTTCAATAGCAATTTTTTAAAATGTTGAGTGAATAACGGACAAGAACCACAGGGCTCTGCCAGAGAAAAATGAGGCATAGCCATTCCTACCAAAGGGATCAATTGCCAGAGTTCTCTCCTGACTCCTCCTGCTGGTCTCTTCTGAGTTAATAAACAGCTCACTTCTTCTTAGGGATACCTGTTCCACCAGCTGTGATAGCTGACAGGAAAAGCATGGACTCCACTAGCTAGCATGCACCAAAGGGGATAATGACCTTAAGTATGCAGAGTATGTTACCTCTTAGTGCTTAAATGGGTTGGCATAAGTGAGCAGAGATGTCTTTTAACTTTTAGATTTTAACTTTAGGAATGAAACAGTGGAAATAACCTCTTTCAACAACTGAGATGTATTATTAGGTGATTAAAGCTTGTTATTCCCATTCAGGATATCAGAGAGCTTTGGTTCTTTGACTTTAATAACCTCACTCACTTCTCCAGCTATATGCAGATCATATTAGGAACTTAATAGGATGATCCTTTATGTGTTTTATCTTTCTACCTTCTCTCTCTCTCTTTTAAAAGCAAACCCCAGCAGAATCAGGATAACTTTGGGAAATGAAGCAGGCACAGTGGTAAGTGCTTTAAAATTACATTTATGAGGCTGGGCGTGGTGGCTCATGCCTGTAATCCCAGCTCTTTGGGAGGCTGAAGCAGGTGGATCACCTGAGGTCAGGAATTGGAGACCTGCCTGGCCAACATGGTGAAACCCCGTCTCTACTAAAAATACAAAAATTAGCCAGGCATGTTGGCATACACTTGTAATCCCAGCTACTCGGGAGGTTGAGGCAGGAGAATCAAGTGAACCTGGAGACGGAGGTTGCCGAGCTGAGATTGCGCCATTGCACTCCAGCCTGGGCAACAAGAGTGAAACTCCATGTCAAAAAAAAAAAAAAAAAAATTACATTTATGAAATATCTACCTCCTGGATACTGGGTACCCTTCAGTGCTGTAAGATATTTGGAAGACTGTGACCTGGTCCCTCCAGTTAAGTACTTCTTCCTTCATCTTTTGGATGTGAAAGAACTGGTAGCTGTTCATCTGCACTGTCAGCTGAACCACTTTGGGTCACCATTTATTGTTTACTTTTCCATTTGTTATTATTTTTTGAGTCGGAGTCTCACTCTGTCTCCCAGGCTGGAGTGCAGTGGCACGATCTTGGCTCACTGCAAGCCCCGCCTCCCGGGTTCACGCCATTCTCCTGCCTCAGCCTCCTGAGTACCTGCCTCAGCCTCCCAGAGTGCTGGGATTACAGGCATGAGCCACTGCGCCTGGCCTCCATTTTTTATTATTGATGACAGTCGTTTCAATACAGATGTGAAAGAATTTTGTCTTGCTTTCAGTCATGAAAATCTTGTGTTATGCTGGCTTTTTTTTTTTTTTAGGTAGAGTGTCACTTTGGCATCCAAACTGGAGTGCAGTGGCGTGAACATGGTTCACTGCATCTTCGAACTCCTGGGCTCAAGTGATCCTCCTACTTCAGTCTCTCAAAGTGCTGGGATTATAGGTGTGAGCCATTGGGCATGGCTGCTTTTTGGTTTGTTTGTTTGTTTATTTTGAAACAGAATCTCCCTCTGCCACCCAGACTGGAGTGCAGTGGCGCAATCATGGCTCACTGCAACCTCTGCCTCCCGGGTTCAAGCGATTCTCATGCCTCAGCCTCCTGGTTAGCTAGGAACACAGGCATGAGCCACCATGCCCAGCTAAGTTTTTGTCTTTTTAGTAGAGGTGGGGTTTTGCTGTGTTGGCCAGGCTGGTCTTGAACTCCTGACCTCATGTGATCTGCCTGCCTTGGCTTCCCAAAGTGCTAGGATTACAGGTGTGAGTCACCATGTATGGCCTGCTTTTTGTTTTTTTATGGTGGTACAATATGCATAACATAAAATGTGCCATTTTAGCCAATTCTAAGTGTACAATTCAGTGGTGTTAATTACATTCATAATATTGTGCAACTATCACTACTATCTATTTCCGAAACTTTTTATCATCCCAAACAGAAACTCTGTACCTGTTAAACAATAACTCCCACTTCCACCACTGCAGCCCCTGGCAGCCTCTAATCTCAAATCTGGTAGCCCCTGGTGGCTGCTCAAATGTTTGTGTGAATTTGCCTATTCTAAGTATTTCATATAAGGGGAATCATACAATGTTTGTCCTTTTATGTCTGGCTTCTTTCACTTACATAATGTTTTTAAGTTCTTCTGTGCGTCAGAACTTCATTCCTTTTTATTGCTGTGCTGAATAACATTTAGATTACTATTTAGATCTTAACATTTTTCTGTTCAATGCCTTGTAGTGCCTCCTTGTTATCCCAAGAATCAATTTTCAGGCCGGCATTCGGGGTCCTGTTCATCCTGTCTGGCCCTGGGCAACTGTGACATTCTTTTACACTGAGGCTTCTCTAAAGCTGTCGATATTAACAACTGATCCATGTTTCAGTGTTGTCACACCCCCTTTAGCAAATCGTATACAATTGATTTTTTTCTTCAGTATTTCAGTTAACCTTTCTTTTTCTCCTTCTCTCCTTCTCTCTCTCTCTCTCTCTCTCTCTGTTGCGCAGGCTGGAGTGCAGTGGCCTGAATACCACTCACTGCAAACTCGACCTCCTGGGCTCAAGGGATTCTCCCACCTCAGCCTCTTGAGTAGCTGGAACTACAGGTGCATGCCACCATGCCCGGATAATTTTTTAATTTTTTTATAGGAATGAGATCTCACTATGTTGCCCAGGCTGGTGTTGAACTCTTGGGCTTAAGTGATCCTCTCACCTTGGCCTCCCAAAGTGCTGGAATTTACAAGTGTGAGCCACTTCGCCTGGCCTAACCTTTCAATTCAAAAAGGAAAAGATGTTGTACTGACAACAAATTGCTCTCTTCATGCAATGCACTAGTAATTAAACTTGTAAATTTTTTGAATGAACCATAAGTTCTAAATAAATAACTGCATCCCATCATTATGTTGCTACAAATGGAATACAGACCTCTATACTTTTTTTTTCTTTTCATTGTAATGTCTGGTTTTTTTTTCCCAGCTTTTTGAGATATAATTTACATGCCACAAAATTTACCCATTTTTGTGCACAATTTGATACATTTTGGTGATGGTATTTAAACATCCATATAACCCCTGCCACAGTCATCTTATAGAACTTCCAGGCAGGGCAGAGTGGCTTACGCCTGTAATACCAACACTCTGGGAGGCGGAGGCAGGAGCACTGATTGAGGCCAGGAGTTTGAGTCCAACCTGGGCAACACAGTGAAACCCCATCTCTACAAAAAATTAAAAATTTTAGGTGGGCATGGTGACACATGCCTGTAGTCCCAGCTACTGGGAAGCTGAGGCAGGAGGATTGCCTGAGCCTGGGAAGTTGAGGCGCAGTGAGCTATGATCACACTTCTGCGCTCCAGCCTGGGCAACTCAGCAAGACTCTGTCTCAAAAAGAAAAGAATTTCCATCCCCTAAAATGTTTCCTTGTGCCCTTTGCAGATGATCTGTGCCCATACGCTATAGTTTGATACCACCTGTAGTGGACACAGCAATATGTGTTCACAAAATGAAAAGGGTGCAACACGTGAACAAAATGGAGAAAAGGCCAAAAAGTCAGTCAGGGAATGAGGGACTTGAGGTAGGAAAACTTGTGTGCAGGCCAGCAAAGGACAATGGCAATGAAGGCAGAGTTGAATAGCACCCAGAGGAACGTGGGAGGCCACTGCAGAGGCAGAAAGCAGTGATCCTCAATGGGAAGGAAAGACTGGAATCCCCTGGGGGGCTTTTCACAGCTGCCCCTCACCACTCCTCCTCCAAGATTCTGATGTCATTCTTGAGTGTAGGAGGCTTTGAAATCGCTGCTGTAAGTGAGCCACCACTGTTAAGTGACAGATTTTTATGTTCCCTACATGTGTGGGAAGAGAAGTTTCAGAACCACTGCTTAGAAATAAGAAAACCCACCACGCCACCCAAGCCTACTGTTTATTTATTCATTCAATAAAGAATTGAGAACTTCTTTGCCTGGGACTGTTTAGGCATTCAATATGTACTCCTTCTCAAAATATATGCAGATTTAGTAAACTAGATAGTGTATTACTATATTTCGTGAAATAAATCAAGGGCTTAGATAATTTGGAAAGATACTGAATTAAGTGGGAACATTTTGATTCTATATGGCAACTTTATAAAATGTCTCATTTTGATATTACAGTTTGTAAAGCCCAGTACAGCAAACCATATTGAAATTTTTCATTACTCTTTTCCTTAGTAAAGACCTGTCAAATATCTGTCATTTTAATATATCCTCTTTGTATTTATAATAATTGATATTAATGGCTATTAATGCATACGTCTATTAATATATACATGTATGTAGGTTTATGGTTGTTAATATACATATATGTTATTAAATACATATAGATATAGATAGCTATTAATATACATGTCTTTGGGGTTCTATGATTACGCATGTTTTTTAATCCATTAATTTTTATTTGAAATTGAAATGGCTGACTTTGCATATTTGTTTACCTTTTTTGTAGCAATTCAAGCATTATTTAATCTGCATTATTAATCTCTTTTAAAGCAAGAGGAAGAACAAGATAGAAAGGGTAACCATACTGATTTGGAAAGCATTAATGAAAATGTAGTTGAAAGTGCATTGAGAAGAGTAAACAGAGAAGAAAAAGGTAAGTTATTCAAATTCTAATCATTTCTTATATGAGGAGTTGGGGAGTACAGAGGGAATACCAATTTTTATGTTACTAGGTCTCAGGTATCGTAAACAAGAGTACAAGCTGATATTTGTTTGCTTATCTAGTACCTTATTTAATGTTTTAGAAATATTTTATTTACCTACAACAAAAGAGAGAATAGCATTTATCAGTAAGAACCATTAGAAAGAGTGGTATTTATTGTGCTATCCACCTTAAAAAGCATAGCATACTGTGTGTATGTAAGTCCTCCCAGGGCTTCATTCTTGCACAATGTGTAACATGTAAGTATACACATATTATTATTATTTTTTTATTTCTTTATTTTTTTTGAGATGGAGTCTCACTCTGTTGCCCAGACTGGAGTACAGTGGCCCAATCTCGGCTCCCTGCAAGCTCCGCCTCCTGGGTTCACGCCATTCTCCTGCCTCAGCCTCCCAAGTAGCTAATTTTTTGTGTGTGTGTTTTCAGTAGAGACGGGGTTTCACCGTGTTAGCCAGGATGGTCTCGATCTCCTGACCTCATGATCCGCCTGCCTTGGCCTCCCAGAGTGCTGGGATTACCAGCGTGAGCCGCTGCACCTGGCCTACATATTTTTTTTTTAACTTGGTCACTATAATGATTCATTTTAACTTTTCATTTTGGATTTTTTTTTTAATTTCCTTTGCTACTTAGATTTGAAAGAACATTGATCTCTCAAACATAGATCTGAGTTTGAAAGAGAAAAGAAACACTTCCATATTGTTGTTAGATAGTCTCTGTGTGGACAGAGATGGATACATCAAATAACATGCTTGGCATTCCTTTTTTACGTTTTAAAATCAGGTAATGAGTCAGTCCATCTGAGGAAATCCAGTTCACCAAATCTTCACAGACGACAGTGGGAGAAAAATGTACCCAATACAGCTCTTACAGCTTTGGAAAAGGCATCCATACTCACCTCCAGTTTAACAGCAGAGGATGATAGAGGTTAGTAGTCAGATTGAATACTATTATTTTACTAGAGAACTTTTTCTAATACTTAGTGCACTAGAGGCTTTTAATGTCTGTGAAGGGTATTTGGCGTCACACGTCAGAGCATTGCTCATATAGGTGAATGAAGCAGATTTTAGTTAACAGTCAAATATAATTAACTTTGCTTGAAAATATGATCTGGAAAGTACATGCTGAAAAATCTTTTTTTATTCGGCACTAATTTTTGTCTTTTTCCAACTAGGTGGTTCTGTAATAAAATACAGCAAAAATACTACTCGTAAGCAGTGGCTCAAAGAGACCCCTGACACTTTGTTGAACTTCCTTAAGAATGCTGATCTCAGCTTGGCCTTTCAAACATACACGATATATAGACCAGGTAATTCATGTCTGTATGTGACCTTGGAAACCCTTTGACTTTTTGAAAATTGTGGTAAATATATATAACATAAAATTTACATTTGAACCCTTTTAAAGTATGCAGTTCAGTGGTACTAAGTATACCACATTGTTGTGCAGCCATCACCAGTATCCATCCACAGAAATGTTCTCATCTTCCACAACTCAATTCAAAGGGTTTCCCTCCTCCCAGAAACGCTTTGATTTCAAACTTGTAAAATAATTCATAGCATTGTATTTTTAGGTGTTTTTTGATCTTTTCTAGCCAGTCTTAAGCTACAATTAAAATTTTTCATGGAGCTACATTACTTCTGTTTGCTCATTTGTTTGCTTATTTTCATAATCCTGCTACTACTTTCTTTGAAGAGGAGCCCATTTTTATCATGCAAATATGCCATTGCTTTAGCAACAACTCTAAGATTTCTTTTGCTGTATACCTGAACTCTGTTATATTGAATAGAGCTCAAAAAGGATGAACAATTAGGATTTGATTTTTAAATTTTTTTACAGACATCTTTACTAACATTGTGTAAAATAATTTTTTTATAATACCGTCCTTAGAAATCTAGGCCAGTGGTCTGTATTAGATATGTATGTGTGTATGTGTATTATAATTATGATAATTTAATTACTAAGCCACCTTGCTAGGTTAAGATCTAAGATAAATTACACCAAGTAGAGCAGGTAATGGTATGGCAAGTCTGACTATATTTATTGCAACGATTTAGTTGTATTTGTTTATTTGGTCAGTATTTATTGAATGCCTAACATAGGTTAAGATGAAAAAAAGAATAAAACACAGTTCCTGCCCTAAGGATGAAGGGGTTCATTACATGGGAGGTCAGCACACTGATAAGGAATTATAGTGCCCTGTAATATATGCATTCAGATAGAACTGTGCTCAAAAGGTCATGGAAGCCCTAAGGAGATGCTAATGCATGGGAGGAAAATGTTAAGGAAGGTTAATGGTTATGAATTTCAATTTTGCAATTTTAGGTCCAGGATTTTCTGTCTGGTCCAGTGATGAAGTCTTTGTCATTTTAGGAAAGTCCCTGTTTAAAAACTATGTCATAGTTCTATTTTGAAATGCCTTTTAGAAGATTCGGCCCATGTTTTTAGGGTAGATTTTCATGCTGTTTGTGAGAAATCTAAAAGTAATTACACCTGGAAAAAATTTTTAAGCATGCATATGGTCTTCCTTCAGTTTCCAACTTTTCTTCCTCCCCATTGTGAAAACTTGGGAGGAGAAAGTTCAAAGGAAAAAAGAAATTACTATAACCCAACTTTCAAAGGTAACTTTTAATGCCTTAATATACATTCTTATATTGGAAGGGTTTTATGGTAATTTTCCGAGTTTTTTTTTCTCTTAAAGAAAATCCTGTTTATAGGCTGGGTGTGGTGTCTCATGCCTGTAACCCAGCACTCTGGGAGGCTGAAGCGGGAGGATTGCTTGAGCTCAGGAGTTCAAGACAAGTCTGGGCAACATAGCGAGACCTTGCCTCCACTAAAAAAATTAGCCAGGCATGGTTCTGGACGCCTCTAGTCCCAGCAACTTGGGAGTCTGAGGTAGGAGGAGCTCTTGAGCCTGGGAGTTCGAGGCTGCATTGAGCCATGATCAGCCACTGTACTGTAGCCTGGGTGACAGAGTGAGACCCTGACTCAAAAAAAAGAATAAAGAAAGTTCCGTTTATAAATTTAGTCCATGTCCTAGTGCTTCTGCTTCCGGGGCCTGTTTTATGCCCACAATCATGTTGGGGTTGGGTAATGTGGGGAGACACTACACAAGAGTAATGGGACATGACATTGTCCTCAGCCAGCAAGCTTATGGAAGATTTTAGTCAAACTGCATGAAATAAGTAAATACTGTTTAAATTGGTATATTTTCTGTTAATATCTCCTGAAGGTTCAGAAGGGTTCTTGAAAGGCCCCCTGTCTGAAGAAACAGAAGCATCGGACAGTGTCGACGGAGGTCACGATTCTGTCATTTTGGATCCAGAGCGACTTGAGCCTGGGCTAGATGAGGAGGACACGTACGTTGTGATATGCGTAGAAAGCTTTAGCTGGGGGTGGAGTGTATGTGTGTTTGTGTGTGTGTGTGTGATTTAAATTAGACCATGATAATTTCAGGTTTGGTAGGGACCTCTTAGATTACTTTTCATCATAAATGGAATTTTTCTTTTTTAGACAGAGTCTCTCTCTGTCTCCCAGGCCGGAGTGCGGTGGTGGGATCTCGGCTCACTGCTAGCTCCACCTCCTGGGTTCACGCCATTCTCCTGCCTCAACCTCCCGAGTAGCCGGGACTACAGGCACCTGCCACCACGCCTGGCTAATTTTTTGTATTTTTACTAGAGACCGGGTTTCACCGTGTTAGAGTCTCAATCTCCCCCGACCTCGTGATCTGCCCACCTTGGCCTCCCAAAGTGCTGGGATTACAGGTATGAGCAACCATGCCCGGCCATCATAAATGGGTATTTATATCCTGATCTTTTGTCTGGGATGGGTAATACCTAACAATATGATTATAAAATTCCTGATTGAGCCCTACACCTCTAGCCTTTCAGCTTGAACTTGTTATTTTTTAATATATTAGGTTTTACATTTTTAAAAGTGTTAGAAACAGTCAAAGAAGTGATCTTTTGGAAGAACTGACAATTTTTTCCCTTCAGTTGCGTTATGGAACTCATTTTTCAAAAGCTTAAGTATTGTTATGGTGGTGTCTTGCTTTGAACTCACCAACAGATACTGTGCCCCTAATGTAGAGGTTTATGGTCCAAATTGTTTTTTCACAGGGACTTTGAGGAGGAAGATGACAACCCCGACTGGGTGTCAGAGCTGAAGAAGCGAGCTGGATGGCAAGGCCTGTGTGACGGATAATGCCTGAGGGAGTGTTCCTGAGTCACACTGAGGAGAGGCTTCACTCAGGAGTTCATGTTGAGATGATCATGAGTTCATGCGATGTATATTTTCCTTTGGAAACAGAATGAAGCGGAGGAAACTGTTAATACTTAAAATTGTTCTTGATTAGTATCATGAGTTTGAAAAGTCTAGAACTCCTGTAAGTTTTTTAATTCGAGAGAGAAGGTGTAGTGGAATGAGTGTGAGCATTGGGCTTTGCAGTCCCATAGAAGAGAAATGGGATGCTAGCCTGCCACTACCTACTTGTGTGATTGTGGGAAATTACTTAATCTCTTCGAGCCCCAATTTCCTTAACCATAAAATGAAGATAATAATGCCTACCTCAGAGGCATGCTGACTATAGACCATTACAGCAGCCCGTATGTTATTCACATTATGATTTGTGTTTATTATTATGTGACTCTTTTTACACTTCCTAAAGGCTTGAGAATTAAATATATTTAATTTTGATATGGTAATGTGTGCAGTTTTTCAATATGACCTGATTCTGAGTAGTTTGAAGATCATTCCAATGGTCTTCACCAGCTGTCCTTAAATACAGTCCCTCATAGGATGCACAAAAGAGCCTGGGTTGGAGGGTCAGCCCTGGGAAGCATGGGGTGGTCTGCAGATCTTGTCAGAAGATAGCAGTCCTGTAGATGAGGAAGGAAGAGGCCAGAGTGAGGAGCAGAAATGGTAAATATCAGAAACTAGAGAGTGATGTGGAATAAATAGGGGGACGCATGGCACACATGTGCTGGGTCCTGTCGTGTGTGTTAACCTCATCTAATAGTGTGCACTTTAGTGAGATGAGAATATTTCACTGAAGAAACAGGCTTCGCTCAACACTCACAGAGACATGAGCCAGACAGATACAGGGAACAGTGCTAAAGTGAAGAGAAGGGGGAAAATACATTTAGGGTCATTAACAAGCACTTGCTGAAATCTGGAAAATATACATCTTTTAAATATTTAACAGTTTTTAAATCTTAATGTATAAAACCCTGTGGTATAGAACCCTACCTCACATATACACTGTATTTACATTTGGATATCTTTAATCTCCGGTGGTCTCTGGCAGTCTCTAAATCTTTCCTTGTTTTTCGGGACCTTGATGTTTTTGAGTACTTCTCAGGTATTTTGTAGACTACTGCTCAATTTGGGTTTATCTCACAATTGAACTAAGCTTACGGATTTTGGGGAAAACCACAAAGGTGAAGTGCCCTTCTCATCACATCATTTCAGGGAGTACACAGCATCAGCATGACTTCTTCCCAGTGTCGTTCACCTTGATCACTTGATGAAGGCAGTGTCTGCCAGGCTCTCCACTATCAACTTTGTAATGTTCCATGTTCATGCTATGTTCACTATAAGCAAGTCATACACTCCAGCTAATAATAAGTTATTTGTTTTCTTGCTTAAATCGTTCTAGCTTTGGCTGTTGGGAATTGTTTCAGGTCACCTCCTATGTCCCTTTGATGTGCCCCTATTCTTTTGGAGCACTTCCTTCCTTTGTGGCACTACAAGATGGTTCAGACTCATCTTTACCTTCTCTGCCCCAACCCCAAAATCATCCATTTCAACGAGGTTCCCACTGGTTTAGAAACCAAGATCTGGTTGCTGGGTGTGCTTGTTGTTCCTGGGGTGTCACTGCTTTTAGGCCCTCTCAGCAGAGCTAGGAAGTATATGTGTGTATACTAACCTGTGTACACTGTATAATTGTAGAACCATCCACACATCTCTACAGTTATTTCTGTATCTCTCCGTCTGTACATACATTAAATTAAGCATGGGTCCATACTGATGTCTCCAACTAACCCAATACTACAAGGTTCATTCTAGCCGCCTTCTCATGCTTTTCTATAACTTCTGTCCCTGACAATGAGAAAACTGGCTTGCACCATCCACCACCTGCTTAGCTGTTCGATCCTAGTCTACTTGTAAAGCAGTTTCCAAATCATTAACCCATACCCCTGAGAGATACAAATTTACCAACTAAGGTACAGAGTTTATGTATCTTTCCTATTGTCTCATGGTTTCCAGTCAAATACCATTTCCCAAAATTATTTAGGTTAGCTCTTTGAAATTAGCTTACCACCCTCTTGAACATTTTTCAAGTTAAAGCAGGCATGGATCATTCTAAGGATATTTCCAGATACTGAGCTTCCATATATACTGTATTCTATACTTCTTAGTCATCTTCAATCTTAGCATTGCCCCAGGGTATAAACATTTCCAAACCATCAAACAAAAAAACTTGAAATTATGTACAGTTACTGAGAGACTGGATAAGTATTGGATAATCCTTTTTAAAATCAGAATGGCTTATGGGGTTTTGCTTTTAATAAAATTTCAGAAGAGTAATGGAATTACCAGTTCATGATTATAAACCATTTTTGATGATAGATTACTATATGATTCTTGAGATACAACTAGACAAAAATCGAGGGACACTTTTAACAAAACTTTTCATTCTTATGTACTTATTTCTCAGCACTTACGGCCTTAAAAAAAAAATGGAAGAGACTCAGTGTTAAACTTTATTGTAGCAAGAAGTTAGCATTCATCTATGGATACAGGAACTGATGACGCATGGGGAGCCCATCCAGGTCTTAAGGAGATGAATTTTCAATACAATTTTATTTTTTTATATTTAATATAATTATCAGCATTGTGATATATTTTATTGTGATCAATTGTGTAGTACTAGTAATTTTAACAATCCAGAAAAAAATTCTGTGAGCAGGAAATGTAAATTTCCATTACTATACTTCTTTCAGCAGTATGACAGGATGATCAATAAGACTTTCAAGCATGAAAAAGATAACTGGGATAAAATTCTGTGACGAAAGTAGAATGAAGATATGATTTAATAAAGCATGTCCAAGAATTCTAGGGAAGAAATGTGGGTGTGGTCACTGACTCATGAAATTAAACAAAAACAAGTAGATCATATACTTGCTAATATTTTGAGGGAATTTCACTGCCAAAGAAACTAACATTGGCTGTTCCAACTCATAAACAACTTTTGGACTCCTGTTATGGGCTGCATTCTCCCCTGCCCCGGCCACTCCCAATTCACATATTGAAATCTAACACCAGTAACTCACAATGAGACTGTATTCGGAGATAGAGACTTTAAAGATGCAATGAGATCAAAATGAGGCCTTCAGTTCAGTCCTAATCCAATTTGACTATAGTGCTTATAAGAAGAGGAAATTTTTTGTGGCAGGGACGGGGAGGGGATGGCGGAGAGATGATTTTAAGGAAAAGTAGTGATGTAAACTTAGGATTTTTAAAATAGCTTTTTCGTGTGCTTTTGCATGTGTGTGATGGACGATGGAGGGTACCATATCACTGTAGTGTTTAGATTCAATTGGATATATTTTACTTGCGTCACTATTTACAATTGCTGGAAAATACATTTTTTTCAACTACTTAAACGTTTTAGCTGCTTGATGTGCAAATCCAGAATGGGGCAGGGTGTGGTGGGGAGGGGGCGTGCGTGCAGACGCTTGGGCAGCGCCGGTTGCGTTAGAAAGTCCCTTGGCAGGTCGCCGCTGTGGCCCAAAGAGTAGGAAGCGGTTCCAGTCTCACGTCCACCTCTTGGCAATATTTGAGACCTTGTACAAGAAACACTCTTCCTGTCTTGGTTTAGCTTATTTGTAAAACTAGGAGACTACTGCCTTGCGGGGTTGTAAAGAAAAGAGAGAACGTTTGCGAAGCGTCTGGTGCACCGTAAGCAAGAGCGGGGGGCGCTACTGTAGAGTGCAACGCAAAGCAATCCCGACCCAAGGCAACGGGACGGTGTGGGGGTGGCTCTGTTGGGTCTCCAAACTCCCTGGCGCCTGACCCTGCCTCGCGGTGGACTTTGTGGACGGGTCCCCAGGCCATTCCAGCCTCGCGCCCCGCCTGCATTTCCTTGCGCGGCTCCGCCCGGCCGCGGGGAGGCGCAGCGGCCCCGGGAACCCGGATCCTTCTGGGACGCTTCGTTGGCGCCGCGGAGCCGGCGGAGCAGGTATGCTGCAGGGGCCGCCCTTAGTCCTTGCCCGGAGCCCCCGCAGGGCTTCAGGAACCCGGCAGGGTCGGGGAAAGGGATGGAGTCTCTGCCTGGGGCGGCGGGGGCGGCCCAGAAAAGGCCTAGCGTCCCGGGCTGCATGGATGTAGCGTCCCGGACGCGTCGGTCTCTATGGCAACGCTCCTCACGCTGAGCTCGGGTCTGGGTAAGCGTCTCACCACCCACCGGCGGCCGCCTCCAGGGGCGGCCCTAGGGGAGAAGGAATTTTCCTAACTTGGGGGCTTCCACCCTCTGGTGCCACTTGGGCGGGAGGGTCGCGGGCCCGCAGTTCCCGGCTGGTCACCCCCGGCCCCTAGTCCGTATGCGTTTCTCTCAGAACCCCGTCCTCCGGTGTCTACAGCCTCTCCTGGCTGCGGAGCTGGTTCCCAGCCCCCTGCAATCTAATTGTACCCACTTCCTACCCTGACATGAAATTATTCGAAAACAACCCCCCGCTCACCGCATTAACAACAGCAGCAGCAACAGCAACAAAACTCTATTATGCCCTAACTGTAGCATAAAGAGGAAATAGAGGGAAAGCAATAAGTAAGAAAGTACATATTTCAATCTGAAAATGCTTGACACTACTACCCTTGGCAAAAGTGGAGAAGCAGCCAGTAGCCGCGCCTGGGCGTCTCCTGAACGTGACGGCAGCAAATGCAGATTGTTAGGTCTACGGGACCGGGGTGGCGTGGCCAGTGAAGGGCGTGATTTTCCCAAATGGTGAACAATTCTTGGTAAACCTCCAAACCAAACAAAGTGCAATCAAGCCTTGATTTACATGTAGTTGCATTCCTTGGGGGAAAAAAAAAAAAAATCAGTGTTCATTAAAACTGCAAAAATACTTAGCATTTCGATGTAAAATAGAGTTTGGTTCTAGCCACAGATAATTACAAACGGATTTTTCCGCACACATGAGTGTATAGGAAGACTCTACAAGATTGGAGGGCCGCAGGGTAATCCTTTATTGTGCGGGACTGTCCCTCGAATCGCAGAATCCTAGCATCTCAGGCCCCAACCACCTGTCAATCTCTTGCCTCTGAATCCCGGGGAAACAGCTTCCCCACCCCCATATATTTCCAAAATTCCCCCTAGGGGGCAGTACGTCCCCATTAAGAAAGGCTGGACTGTGAAAAGTACACAAGCCTGAGGACATTCCTGCTTTATAAAGCTGCCAAGCACCGGATATATAGTATCTTTCATTCTCAGAACAAACTTGCAAAACAGATATTGTTATTCCATTTTAGAAACTAGGAAAGTGCGGTTTTGCCAGGTTAAGTGACTTACCCAGGAACGCAGGGCAAAAGTGTATCAAAGCTGAGCTGTGACCCATGTCTGACCAAGAAACTCTGTCTCATTTCAGTTGTTATCTGTGGCCACAAGGAAAGTTACTTGTCTCTGTCTTGGCAAGGCTG